CACATATTTAGTTTCTAATATATCTGTCTAAATATGTATATTATATATTGCTGTGTAACAAGTTACCCCAGTACTTAGTGGCTTAAAACTATAAACATTTAGTATCCCCCAGTTTCTGTGGGTCAGAAATTTGAGTGCAGCTTAGCTGAATGGTTCTGGCTTATGGTCTCTCATGAGGTGGCAGTCAAACTATTGACCAGGGCTGCATTCATCTGAAAGGTTGACTGGGGCTCAAGGACCCGTTTCCATGATTGCTCACTCATGGGGCTGCAGGCACAGCATTTTGGTTCCTCACTGGTTATTGGCAGAACAGCTACATGGGCCTCTCCATAGGGTACCTGAGTGTTCTCATGACATAGCAGCTGGCTTTCCCCAGAGTGAGTGATGCAAAAGAGAGAGAAGGCAGGAAACTGTAGTGTCTTTTATGACTTAGTCTCCGAAGTTGCACACTATCGCTCCTGCTTTTTTTTTTTTTTTCCAATTTACTAGAAGCAAATCACTAAATCCAACCCACATTCAAGAAGAGGCAAATTAGGCTTCACCTTTTAAAGGGAGTGTCAAGAATTTGTAGACATTATTTGTAGACATTATTTTAAACCAATAATTCAATCTGAATTTTGTATTTGTGTTTGTATTTTTAAACAGTTTCTTCTTGCATTTATTGTAGTTAAATATATGAAGCAAAAACTTATTCTTTTGTTTATTGAATACAAGTTCATGAATTGTATCTTCATAAGTGTCTTTTATTATGTAATGTTGCTTTGTGATCATGTTTAGCACTTTTAATCTTAAATTCTTAAAATTAAAGTCTTAAGTTCTTAAGTCTCATATTAATATTTACATTCTTGTTTTCTCTTTGTTGTACTTACCTTGTTTTCAACCTCTCTTTACCTATATTTTTTAATGTATATTTCTCACAAACTATATATTCCTGAGTTTTGTATTTTAATATAGTCTAGTAATCTTGGTATTTTAATGGGAGAATTTAACCCATTCACATTTAGTATAACAACAGATATTTTTGAAAGTTTTTCTTCTATTTTACTTTGCTTACTACTTACTATGTTTCATCTTCTCCCTTTTCTTTGTGCTGTTTTGGTGAAGTTTTCTTTATTGTTTTCTTTGGTGTTTTTACTGTGCTTTTCTTTTCAATAGTGGTTATCTTCCCATTCCTGACATTTCTGATAAATAATGTGTGTGTATATTTCTCAGATATCTATAACATTATTCTTCCACCATTATCTTCTCTCTCCTCCAGCAAGACAAATGTATTTATTTTCACACTTTCCATGTATGTCCCCTATTGGGATGAGATTTGTGGAGAATTTGCTTTTCTCCCCTAACCTCCCCTGCAAATTCAAGTTACTGCTCATGCCATATTTTTAGTTCTTGACCATTATTAGGTTTTTCTTCATAGAATGTCTCTTCTATTTCTAGAATCCTTGCTTAGTACTTAAATTCAAGTTCCACATTATCACTATTGATTTATATTTATATTTAATTATATACTGGAGGGCTCATTGTTTATTGTTCACATCTATATTCTATATAATATATTTGTTCCTCTTGGATCTTTCCCTGGCTGTTACTTCATTAGAATATTTTCTTGAATGTTTTCCTCTATGGGGCATGTGGGTGCTATATTCTCTGAATGCAAGCTCCTTGAATGCAGGGACTTTGTATTATTTACTTCTGTGTTTCTAGCACCTAAAAATGTGTCTAGCACATAACAAGCAATCAATACATGTTCATTGCTTTTGTGGTATTAGATCACTGCATACTCACATATGTCTTTCTTCTACCCTGATGATCATCTCTGTTGTTGCTGATATTTGATCCTTTACACATCTGCAAATATTATCTATCACCCTAAGAAGTTAATGATGTTTTGGCCAATATAGAATTCTTGGTTCACAGTCCTTTTCTGTCTTTAATTTGTAGATTTATTACACCATCTTCTACCTCCCACTACTGCATATGAGAAGTCTAATGCCAGGATGATTCTTTTCCCTTTGTAACTTACTCTTTCTGTCTAGCAGCTTCTGAGACATTTACCAGGTAATAGGGATATTTTTTCCCCTATCAATTGTGCATAGGATTCAGGAGCTCTTTCAGACTTCAGGCTGAAGTCCCTTTTTAACCATAGAAATCTCCCTCTCTTCGTTATGTAATTATTGCCTCTTCTCCATCTGTTCCTTTTTCCTGATTCTAGAACGATTATTGCCATATTAGTTCTCTTGGCTTTGAACTCTAATTTCTTACTCATTCCTTATGATTTCCATCATTTTGCTTTTTAATCTGTGTGAGAGATGTTTCATCTGTTTGCTTTTTCGGGTCAATAATGTATTTTCCAATCACTGTTTCTTTTAATTAGCTCTAATCTATTGATATTTTAAATTTGGAAAGCACACTTTAAATGGCAAGAATTATTAACTTTTTGTTCTTTATTTATTGTCCTCTCATTTTTTAAAATAACGTTTTCCTCTGTCCTCCAACAAGTCTAGCTCATTAGGTGATAGAACTTTAGCAGATCTGATTGGTCTGTCCCTCTCTGGTTACTGGATCCCCCTTAAGTGCTAGGTTATTTTCATTTTCTATTCTCTGCTTAAGCTAGATTAAGCCTGTCTATAGTTGAAGGCACAACAGTTGCTACTCCTGCATCAAGAGTGTGAGAGGAAGTGTCTATGTTCCTAGGTATCCCTAAATGCAAGTGTTAGTTTTCTTTTAGCTTCAGAAATAGAGATGAAGTTCCCTACACTTTTTCTAGCAAGATCCAGCTCCCTCTCCCCCAAACCAGGACCATACTAATGCTCTGAGTCAGGGTCTCCCCTTAATCAAGGGATGCGCAGGTCCCCTCAGGCCTAGTTCTTCCATGTTCTCACCCCAGGGCTCTCAACTGCTGCTCCTCTAGCCCCCTAGAATCCCAAGAGAGCCAATAGCCTCTAACACCCCTCAGATTCCTCTGGTTTACTCATCCCAGCCAGCTGAAGGCTGAGGGAAGGAAGAGTATCAGAGATGCAGAATTCTTCCTTTTATTCTTTAAGTTCTGATAAGCAATAGCCTATGTTTTTGCAACTGGCTCACACTATTTAAGCCCAATGTGATAAACGTATGTGAATTAATGTATAAGAAAATATAAAATAATGGGATCTTAAAATTAGAAATAACATGGAGGTCATAATAAAATGAATCTTCTCATTTGTATGGTTCTCTATGGTTTTCATGCAATTTTATACACACAGTCTCATTCAAGTTCCAGAGTAGCCCTGCATGGTAAGTATGGAAGTTATCATCCCCATTTTACAGATGAGGGAACTATAGCTCATAAAGTTTAAATAATTTACCCAGGGACACATGGGTAATAGTGGAGCTGGACTAGCAAATAAGTCTTCTTATTTCTGGCCCAGGACACTATACTACTGCTTGCTTGCTTGCTTGCTTGTTTGTTTCCAATTGTCTTCAGAACATGTTACATTACATGATGATTTGTGGAATCCCTGTGTTATATATTGTGACCTGTATTATATATTTTTTCAACCATTTCTACTATATTGGTATGAATAATTTTAAATGTATATAAATACTGGGACAGTGACTATAAGGTCATAAGAGTTTCTTTTGTAGTTTGAAATCTAAAAAAAGAATTTGAAAATAGTTTGAAAAAGATTAATATAACTAGAATATGTAGATTATTTCCTGAAGGTAACTTTTTTGAAGGGGGACATACGTTTGGACAAATGAGTGCTTAAATTTTTCTCTTTGTGATGTATTTTTTAAACATTCACATTTATTTTACTATGCAATAGAATGCACTTGACCATTTCCCTACCAGGCATGATATGCCTGGTGGGTCTGACATGTTTGTTTTGTCTTACAGTTTAGTAGTACAGAAGTAAATGAATCAATATTTGTTATAAAGACCAGACCTTTGTCCTGATCCCAGTTTTTTTCCTACTAACACTGTGTTTAAAAGTATTATCTCATACTCAGGAGTGATAATCAAAATATTTAACAACTAACACGGCCTGGTCAGTGAGCAATCACAATATCTGCCAGCTATCCATACCTGGTGTAATTGTATCAGAGTGTACTGGTGATAAATCAGCCCTGCTCACAGTTGCATGGTACCTTACACTTTGCTGGGTATTTTCATATCCATTCTCTTGTTTGATCTGGGGAGGGGAGTGGATATAGTAGCACTCCCCTTTTGTAAATTGAGGGATTCACAGCCCAAAGAAGTTAAACATAGGGCCTCTTAGAATGAAAGACTTTTGGCTCTTGGTTCAGTGTTCTTCCTTGGATGGAAGTTTCCCTCTTTTCAAGGGCGAAAGAAGAGATAAATTTAGCCATTTAAAAAAAATTTTTTTAAAGATTTTATTTATTTATTTTTGAGAGAGAAATTGAGAGCATGCATGAGAGCATGGGGGGGGCAGAGGGAGAAGCAGACTCCCCACTGACTGAGCAATGCAGGCGCCCAAGGTTAGCCTTTTTTTTTTTTTTTAAAGATTTTATTTATTTATTTGAGAGAGAGAGAATGAGAGATAGAGAGCACGAGAGGGAAGAGGGTCAGGGGGAGAAGCAGACTCCTTGCTGAGCAGGGAGCCCGATGTGGGACTCGATCCCGGGACTCCAGGATCATGACCTGAGCCGAAGGCAGTTGCTTAACCAACTGAGCCACCCAGGCGCCCAGCCATTTTTGATAGGACAAAAATCAGCTCCTTTTAAGAGAAAACTCATAGTGGGTAGTGGGTACAATGGGCAGTCACCATCCCCCTGGAATCTTCCTATCCAAAGCTAATGCTTCACTTCCAAGGTCCCTTGCAGGTGATGCCTGCCCTGGAAGAGTGAAACTACCTCAAGTTAGTGAGCAGATTTTTCCCAGTGGAGGAACTGACTCAGCCTCTTTTCTCCATATTCACAGGGACATTTAAGTACAAAGCCTTACTTTAAAAGTACATTCTTTTAACTGCTTGTTTTTCCCCCCTCTCCTCCTTCCACAGAATGGTCTCCCCTCAAGGAGCAACTCATATATTTTTAATGGTGATTTTGTAGATCGAGGAAAACATTCCATAGAGATCCTAATGATCCTGTTTGTGAGTTTTCTTGTCTACCCCAATGACCTGCACTTGAACAGAGGGAACCATGAAGATTTTATGATGAATCTGAGGTAACCTAGGCCTTTAGATTTCCTCTTTTTTTCCCATACTGTGAAAAATACTGCCATGTTTAGTTCCTAGCAGAGAGTTAGAGGTGAGTGTAGAGAAGTAGGGATGAGGGGAATCTCAAGGGAGACCTCGATTCTTACCTCTATTTACCACCTCCGTCTTCTCCTGAGTGAGTATACGTTGCTCCCAAGTCTTCTTCCTATTTTTTCTTCCAGTTCTGTCCTTGCTGCTCCCTTCTATTATGTTCTTTCTTTTCCTCCCATGCCTCCCATCACAGGCCAAATTGTTTCCTGGCTGGATGTGTTAGGCAAGCTTTGGAGGTGTGGTAGGTTCTATGAGCAGGCTTAGATGAGATCATTCTGTTGCTACTCTTTTGGCTTGCCTCAGATGTTGTCTCAGAAACTAGTACTGTGTTTTTCACTGATGTGTATATTTTTTTACGACATGGTGATTGCTTCTGGCATAATTGTTCATAAACATATTTGAGAACAGCTGTAATGTAGCATTTCAACTATCTGACTCACTGGAGATTTGAGGAATAAAGATTGGTTAAATGGTTTACCCAATTTTGCTGAAAGACACAGTCGGGGATAAATGTTCCCCTTTCCCTTCTTTCTTCTTCCTTCGCCCCTCCTTTACCAATTTGTTCTAGGGCAGTAGAAGGCATGACGTGTCTCATGCTTTGGGTTCTAGGTTTTTGGGTGCCTTGATCAAAGCTCAGCAACTGATTAGTTTTGTGTTTGGGGCAGTTTCACCCCCTGGCTTGAGTACAGACTTTCAGTTCTAATTTTTTAGGAATGGAAGCAGATGCTAAGACTATGATGGAAAAAATCCCAGACTGTTATCTGAGGTCCCTTATATGTAATGTAGCTCAGTACTTTTATTTGGGCATGCCACTTATCCTTTCATTTATTCAGTTAGCCAATCATATTTATCTAGTGTCTGTGATTGTTAATGAAAGAGACATGGCCCCTGCCCTCACAGAGTTTACATCTAGCAGGGAAAACTTAGGTTGAACAGGTTTTTCAAGTATGATGAGTTTATAAAGTGGGGACCTAACTTGTCTGGGGGCTGGTGATAGAAGGTTCTCCCACAGAAGTATAGTATCAGCCTGAGACCTGAGGATGAATTAGGCAATTCAGAGACAGCCATGGTATTGGCTGAGAAATGGTATTCCACAGTGAGGGGACAACTTAGGCGGAGCTTGACACAACACTTTTTATATGAAAGAACTTTAGGAGGGTAGGAGCACAGACTGAGGGACAGGATGGTCCCTAATAGGGCTGGAGACATAAGACATGGTTGGATCGTGCGAAGGAACTTGGACTTTTTTCTAAGGACAACAAAAATAATCATAGAAGAGTATCATAAAATTTGTGTTTTAAGTGCAGCAGGAAGAAATATTTGAATGTGGGAGGCCAATTAGGAGGTAGTTGAAGAGACAGATGATGGATTCTCACGTAGACCAAGGTAGTAGGGATGGAGATGCAAAGAAGTAGACAGATTCAAGAGGAGTTTAGGCAATGATGGTTTAAAGCATGGTAATGTGATATGGGGGACTCGAAAGAGGAGAGAATCAAGGATAACCTCTAGGTTCCCGGCTTGAATTTGGGAGTATGTTGGCATTGTTCGCTGATATGGGGAACATGATAAGAAGAAGAGGTTGGGATGAGAGAGAATGGTAAGTTCATTTTGGGGTAAGGTGATTTGAAATGCTTTTGATTAGGTAGTTGCGTGTATGTGTCCAGAGCTCAGAAATGCAGTGTGGCCTGAAGCATTGTCCTGCAGTATTGGCACATAGTACCCAAAGCCCTAGGCAAGGATGAGATTACCAAGAGAGAAATTAAGGGGAGAAGAGGGCCTAGGACAGAATCTGAAGGAACACCACCATTCAAGGTTAGGCAGAGAAAAACTTGCAAAGGAGTTGTAGAATACCCAGAAAGGTACGAGGAAAACCAAGAGGGTTTATTGTCACAGAATCCAAGAGAAGAAAAGTTTTCTAGAAGGATGATGTAGTCAACCATATTTAGTGCTTCAGGGAGGGCAAGAAAGATGAGGACTGCAAGGTGTCCTTGGGATTTAACAACATAGACACCTTTGGTGAGTATAGGACTGAATTCATCTCGGAAAACATAACATTACATTGTAGAAGTCTGATGTGATGTGATTTGCATGGATACCCGGAATGAAATGCTGTGTTCTGACTTCCCTATGTTGGGCCTTAAGAACGTACATTATTATCTTTAGGCAAGGAAAAGTAATAAAAAAAATTTCCGTCGTTAAAGCTCCCTTCATGATTGCTATTCAGGCATGAAAATTCCTGACTCTTTTATTAAAATCTTGAATACCATTACTTGAACTATATCAGAGAGAGTATAAAGGGCCAACTTGTTGTCTTCTATCTAGGCTTTTCTTTGTCTCGGTTCAGTCTCCCCCACCACCCCCCCTTCCCACGCCTTCATTCATTTACTATAAGATTTAGGATGTCTGAGAAATACTCTCTAAATGAAAGGCATTCTCCTCCACAGCTTCCCCCAGCTGCCACCACACACTTCTCTGACTACTTGCAGCATCTACACATCCTATACCTAGCACATATTTCTTAAGTCGCCTTGTAATTGTTTCATGAAAATTTATCTTCTTTCTCCAACTATGCTATAAGCTCCTTCCGAGTAGGGATGATGTCATTGGCTGCTTTTGTTCTTTCCCATCATGCCTAGCAAAAACTTGGGTAAGAAATAGTTTCAACTAAACCCTAGTTTCTTGAGTTCTTGATACTTGTGATAATGAGATGTCGGTGGGTCCCCTTTTTGCGTGATTCACGTAAGTAGGAGTTATCAACGTTTAATTAGTTTAAATACCACTGGTTTTTTTTTCAGGTATGGCTTCACAAAAGAAATTTTGCATAAATATAAGGTAAGACTCGGACTTTTTTTTTTTTTTAATGCATTCTCTTTGCTGTTTATGCATAGAACTACAAAAAAAGAGCCTTTGGGAAGGGTGATGGGTAAAAATAAAAGCACAGCAGGAAGCCCTGGCCAGGGTAGAGGCCTAATTTTCTTCCGGGACCAAACAGGAAGCTGTTTCATTGTGACTTTTGTGTTAGTTTCAGCACAGATACAAACATATTCTATTGCTGTAAAGGTACCCAGGATTTGTTTTATGGTAAAACATTGCAGGTACAGAAATGACTATCTTAAAGGAAGAGATTTTTACTCACTGAGTAAGTGTGGGTGTGGGCTCTGGATTGGTTGGTTTGCATATGAAAGGCAACTCATCGACAATTTCTAGGCATTAACTAGCTCTGGGAGGAGCAATCTCTCCTCCAGGGTCAGCAAGGCACCAAGATGTCCAAGTATCAAAAACATAGAACAAACAAACAAACAAACATGAATAAAAAGACATGATTAATGCATGCTGGTGGGTTAGTGACTCCATGCCAACTTCCTTTGCTCCTTTGCCTCGCATGAAAGCTGTTGCATTTTGTGATAAACTTGAACTTACCAAAAAAACAAAACTTACTCAAATTCTTACTTACAGATGCATGGAAAGAAAATCTTACAAATCTTAGAAGACCTCTATTCCTGGCTCCCAATTGGTACAATCATTGACAATGAAATCCTGGTCATACATGGTGGGATATCAGAGTCCACAGACTTGAATTTGCTCCACCGTATAGAAAGAAACAAAGTAAGAAGCAATGTTTACATAAATCTTGTCGCAGAGTTTTATAATGGGGTATATATATATACCTCTTTTCATTTCTTATTTTGTATTCATTTGCGTTTTAGTAGTTGTCGTAACTGCAAAAATTAGTACAAATTTTAAGAAAATCTATGATGGCAAGATAAAGAACTGAACGGGTAACTTCCGAATAAGGCAAATATATTTTTTTAACTTCGTGATGAGAGTGGAAAACGAAGAAATGTTGGCATTTCATATAGTTTCTAAAAGTGAAAATCCTGATTTTTAAAAAAATTAAAATTTCAGATTAATGTTGTAGTAAAATATACATAACATAAAATTGACCACTTTAATTAACCATTTTTAACTGTACAGTTCAGTGGTGTTAAGTACATTCACATTGTAGTGCAGCCGTCCCCACCATCCATCTCCAGAACTTTTCATCTTCCCAAACTGAAACTCTACCCATTAAGCAACAACTCTCCCTTCTCCCCTCTCCCTAGTGCCTGGTGACCACCATGCTATTTTCTGTCCCTGAATTTGACTACTTTGGGTGCCTCATTATAGATGGAATCATACAGCAGTTTATTTCTGAATTGCTATGACTTCTCTTATATTCCAAATGGCTCAGGGTATTTTGGGGGAAATATTTTAAACTGAGTAATCACATTAAGTACAACAGAAGCAGAGCAAGAACGTGTATAGAACCTCTAAGGGAAGAGGCTGTGTGTGGCCTGTAAAGCTCCCGTACTTAGTGAAGGGCTCCTTTGGCTGGGCCTTGCAGAGTGACTGGAATTATCTTTGTCCTGTACCAGAGCCCAGCCAAAGCCCCCAGACCAGGGGCATAGGAGGACCAACAGCAGCTCTGGAACCAGATGATCATATATGGTCCTAGTGAGAAACCTGAACCCTTACCCCTCAAGACTGATAGTCAACTTCCAACCAATCTAGGCAAGTAGAGTCTAGAGCTGGAATTTAATTTGATATAGACAGAAAGGTGACCCCTATTCACTTTGAGTTTCTGGAGCCCTTATACCTTTATATACATATGAAAAATAGTATTATTGCTAACTTCTTCTCATCCCTTTAATATCAGCTTAAATGTACCCCTCCCCTGGAAAGCCTTCCATGACCTCCAGACTAGGTCAGGTCCCCTTCTACCTGCTCTCAAGCCCCTTGAACATATCCTTCATAACAGTTACCAGAACTGAGTAAAGAATTGGGGTACTATTTACTATCCTCCCCTGCTTCTCTCATTCACTGATAATACTCCAGCACCTAAGATGTAGTAAATACTTGATCAGTGTTTGTTGGATATGTCCTAATACATTTAAGACCAAAACAGGGTGGACCTAAGACAAAACTGGATAGAAACTTCTGATTCCTGATTCTGTGGTGATTTTATATATCTCCTCTCCAGCCTCACCCGACCATGACCATATTTCCTGGCTTGTACCTGTTGTCCTGGTAATTGTTAATAGTGCCTCCCTTTATTCTCAGAAGTACTCCAATTGCAATACATTTTAAGGTCACCCTACATTTAAGGCCTCTTTCTCATGATATCAGCTAATAGTCAAGCCAGTAAAACATTTTGCTCAACACAAGATAGTCAGTGTTAACATAACAAGTGGATGTGATTCTAGCCAAAAGCAAGGGAACATGATGTTTTAGTCAGTCAAATATTGGCAAGCACATGGCAGGAATGCCCCACTCTACCAGCACCCGCCCTGTGACAACAGCGCTAATCAGCCATGGCAACCCCTACCAATTGATCAATTGAAAACTTTTCCTTTTCTGAAGTGAGCCTGAGCAGCCAGCCCTCTCTAGAGCTTTTTGAGCTATGAAGAGCATGTGTTGCGGCGCCTGGGTGGCTCAGTTGGTTAAGCCTCTGACTCTTGATCTGAGCTCAGCTCAGGTGTTGATCTCAGGGTCCTGAGTTCAAGCCCCAAGCTGGGTTCCATGCTGGGCATGGAGCCTACTTAAAAAAAAAAAAACCAGCATGTCTCTGGAATGCCTATTACTATCTCTGCGGAGACCAAAAGGTGAGAGCCACCTTGACCTAGTAAACTCCATGAGGCTCTGACATCAGACAGCCATAGCCAGCTTTACTTCCTACCTCCGCCACTTCCTGGCTGGGTGACTGGGCAAGGTACGAAAGTCTTCTAAGCCTCAGTTTCTGCGCCTGTGTATGGAAGCTAAAAATACCTACTGTATTGAGTTGTTAGGAGGATTAAATAGAATTACCTAGATGAAGAAAACAGCATAGAGTAAGCTCTGAACACAAAGCTCTCTCCCTCCAACTCTCTCCTCTCTTTCCTGATACTTGGAACCAAAGTTTGAATTTTAGTCACCAAGACACCCCCTGGGGAGAAGTTTTTGGGCCAGGATTTTTCCAGGAAACCAAATTTCACCTCCTTTGGGGGTCATCGTTCCACCTACTCATAAGCCTGGTTTTAAAGATAGAAATTTGACTTGTGTACTTCCTGTGTCTTCTACCCCTCCTAGAGTGAGGTTGAATTGGCAGCACATACTTGTATTTAAATACAATTGAACTGTAGCAAAAGTAGTAGGTTTAAGCCTTTGGAACTTTCCCAAATGAAATACAAAAGTAGATTTTCTTTTTTTTTTTTTTTTAAGATTATTTATTTATTTATTTGAGAGAGAGCATGAGAGGGGAGAGGGTCAGAGGGAGAAGCAGACTCCCCACTGAGCAGGGAGCCCAATGTGGGACTCGATCCCGGGACTTCAGGATCATGACCTGAGCCGAAGGCAGTCACTTAACCAACTGAGCCACCCAGGCACCCCCAAAAGTAGATTTTCAAGTCCAGTTTTATACCTTTCCCACTTTCTCCACTTCCCCATCCCTTAGGACCCTCTAAGTGTAGGGATGACCATGCTTCCTGGGTTATGCCTGCTGTTGTGGTATGATTGTTAATGGCGGTGGGGAGTAGGGTTGGGGGAACTTCATGACAACCTCCTTCTAGGTTCATTAAAGGCATTTGGTAAGGTGGGTGGGTTGGTGGGGGTGTCAACGCAGAGGGACAGAGAAGGAAGATTCTATAGACTAAGATTCTAGTTTAGAATTCTTTAAACTCCCTGGCAGGGGGTGTGAGAAAGGATGGCTAGCCGGGCTCCCAGGAGAAAATGATGGTGTGGTACTATAGGGGGGAGCTGGGCAAAGTATCGTGATCCTAAGTGGCCTTAAGAAACACGTGTTCTTCATCAGGTTGAGGCACAGCAACAGAGACAGAGTGGCAACTGGCACTGAAGTTTCTGCATGTGGCACATGAAACATAGGGTTGCCTAAAGTGTGACTTTGTTTTGTAGATGAAATCTGTGCTGATGCCACCAATTCCCTTGGTTGAAGACCACAATACTGACTTGAAGAAAAATGAAGTAGGTGCAACTCTTATACCTCAGGAACTCAAAACAAATGGATCCCTTTCTGAGCAGTTAACAAAGCATGAATGGGAACAGGTAGGTATCAAAGTGTTCCCCAAAGTGGCAGTGAAGATGCGGCATACATGATGTTATCCCTTAGATACATAACAAGTGACTTACCTTTATAAGCAGAGCATATTCTTCCTTCTGAACTCATCACTATACTTTTAATAGCTTCATTGAGACAGACTCCCTCATTTAAAGTATATAATTCAGTGGTTTGGGTGTATTCACAGTGTTGTGCCACTGTCATGACAATCTAATTTTAGAACTTTTTCATTGCCTGAAAAAGAAACTCCATACCTATTACTAGTCACTCCCCATTCTCTCCCCAACCACCCCCTCCCCCAGCCTTAGGCAACCACTAATCTACTTTTGGTCTTTATAGATTTTCCTATTTTGGACATGTTCTAGAAATGGACCCATACAATATGTGATCTTTTGTGTCTAGCTTCTTGTACTCAGCTCAATGTTTTGAAGTTCATCCATGTTGTAGGATGTATCAGTACTTTGTTTCTTTTTATTGCTAAATAATATTCTGTGGTGTGGATATACTACATTTTGTTTATTCATTCATCAGTGGGTAGACACTTGAGTTGTTTCTGCTTCTTGGCTATTATGAACAATGCTGCTATAAACATTCACATACCAGTTTTTCTGTGGATGTATGCTTTCATTTCTCTTTGGTATATACCTAGGAGTAGAACTGCTCGGTTATAAGATAATTCTAAGTTGAACATTTTGAGAAATTTCCAAACTGTTCTCCCAAGTGGCTGCACCATTTTACATTTCCATTACCAACGTATGAAGGTTCCAATTTCTTCACATCCTCTCCTTTTGATTATGGCTGTCCTAGTGGGTGTGAGGTGGAATCTCGTTATGGTTTTGATTTGTTGTGGTTTTGGCATTTCTCTAATTATTAATGATGTTGAGCATCTTTTCATGTGCTAATTGGCCATCTGTATGTCTTTGGAGAAATATCTATACAGATCCTTTGCTCATTTTAAAAATTGAGTTATTTATCCTTTTATTATTGCATTGTAAGAGTTCTTCATATATTCTGGATATAAATTCCTTATCAGATATATTATTTGCAGGTATTCTTTCCTATTCTGTGGACTATCTTTTCCCTCTCTTGATGGTATTATTTGCAGCACGAAAGTTTTTAATTTTGATGAAATCTAATATTATCTATTTTTTTCTTTTTTGCTTCTGCTTTTGGTGTTGTATCTAAGATGCCATTGTCTAACCCAAAGTCATGAGGATTTATTGCTATATTTTCTTCTAAGAATTTTATAGATTAAGCTCTTCGATTTGGGTAATCCATTTTGAGTTAATTTTTGTGTAATGTGGGAGGTAGAGGTCTAGCTTTAATCTTTTGCATGTGGATATCTAGTTATCCCAATACTACTTGTTAAAAGGATTTTTCTCATTGAATTTTCTTGGCACTTTTATCAAAAATCAACTGACCATAAATATGAAGGTTTATTTCTAGACTCTTAGTTCTACTCCCTGATCTATATGTCTATCCTTACATCAGTACTACACAGTTTTGATTACTATAGCTTTGTAGAAAGTTTTGAAAGTGGGAAATATGGGTTCTTTGTTTTGTTGTTCTTTTTCAAGATTGTTTTGACTGTTCTGGGTCCTTTGAATTTCCATATGAATTTTAGGGACAGCTTGTCAATTTCTACCAAGAAACAGCTGGGATTGCTTTGAATCTGTGTTCTTATTGCAATCTTAACAATGTTATATCTCCAATTCCACGAACATGGAATGTCTTTCCATGTATTTAGATCTTTAATTTCAACAGTGTTTTGTAATAATGTACACTGAGGCGCTTGTTTTGCTCAAGTTGAAAATAAATATTCCAAAGTACTTTCAGTGCTATTGTAAAATAGAATTGTTTTTTAAATTACCTTTCGAAATATAGTTGACTTAGGTATACTGATCTCATGTTGTGAACCTTGATAAGCCTATTTATTCATTCTAATGATTTTTAGTGGATTCCTTGGGACTTTTATATACATGAGCATGTTGTCTGTGAATAAAGATAATTTTGCTTCTTCCTTTCCAAGCTGCCTGCCTTTTATTTCTTTTTCTTCCTTAATCACCCTGTCTAGAACCTCTAGTATAGCGTTGAATAGAAGTGTGCTTCTATTCAAATAAGACATCCTTGTCTTACTCCTGATATTAGGGGAAAGCATTCAGCCTTTCACCATTAAGTATATTAGCTGTTTGTTTGTATATTAGCTGCCCTTCATCATGAGGAAGTTCCCTTCTGTGCCTACTCTGTTGAATGTTTTTATCATGAAAGAGTGTTGGATTTTGTCAAATGCTTTTTTCGTATCTATTAAGATGATCGTGTGGGGTTTCCCCTGTATTCTATCAATATGGTGTATTACGTTGATTGATTTAAACCAACCTTATGTTCCTGGGATAAAAACTACTTAGTCATGGTGTGTAATCCATTTTATATGTTGCTGGCTTCAGTTTGCTAATTTTTTTAAGGATTTTACATCTATATTCATAAGGGGTATTTTTCTGTACTTTTCTTGTGATATCTTTGGTATTAGCATAAGACTGGCCTCATAGGGTGAGTTGGGAAGCATTAGCTCCTCTTCCAGTTTTTGGAGGTGTTTGTGAAGGACTGGTAATAATTTTTCTTCACATGTTTGGTAGAATTCATCAGTGAAATGATCTGAGCCTGAGCTTTTCTTTGTAGGAATTTTAAAAATTACTAATTCAATCTTTTTCTTGCTATAGTTCTATTCAGATTTTGTATTTCTTCTTGAGTGGTTTTTATCTTGGTGGTCCTGATAGTTTCTCTTCCTTGGAATTTGTTCATTTCATCTAATTTATCTAATTTGTTGGCCTAAAGTTGTTTGTAATATATATATTTAAATATATATATAAAGTCGGTAGTGCTGTTGCCTCTTTCATTCCTAATTTTATTGAGTCTCTTTTTTTTCTTGGTCAGTCTCACTAAGGTTTGTTAATTTTATTGATCTTTTCAAAGAACCAATTTCTGGTTTTATTGACTTCCTTTATTATTTTCCATTCTTTCCTTCATTTATTTCTGTTCTCGTCTTTATTATTTCCTTCTTTCTGCTTGCTTTAGATTTAGTTTGCTCTTCTTCTTCTAGTTTCCTAAGGTGAAAGGTAATGTCATTGATTCAAGATCTCTTGCCTTTTGTAATGAAGCTATAAATTTCCCTGTAACTACTACTTTAGCTCCATCCTGTAAATTTTGTGGTGTTGTGCTTTCATTTTCATTCATCTCAGAGTATTTTCTAATTTCCCTTGTGATTTCTTCTTTAACCCATATATTATTTAGCAGCATGTTATTTAATTTCTGCATATTTGTGAATTTCTCATATTTCTTTCTCTTACTGCTTTCTACTTGAATTCAATTTTGGTCGGAGAATGTACTTTATATGATTTAAATCCTTTGAAAACATAGTGAGGCTTTTTTTATGGATAGTGTATGGTCTATCTTGGAGAATGTTCCATGTGCTCTTGAGAAGAAAATGTATTCCATTCCTGTCGAGTGGAGTGCTCTATCTATATATATCTATATGTGTGTGTCTTTGAATGTACTTATCTGTCTTTGAATATATTTATAATAGTTGCTTTGAAATCTTTGTCCACTAAGTCAACATCTAATCCCTTCAAAGGCAATTTCTATTGCCTGCTTGTTTTTCCCTGTGTATTTTTTTCTTTGCATGTCTTGTAACTTTTTTGTTGAAAACTGGGCATTTTAAGTAACATATTGTAGTAACTCTAGATAGTTATTCCCATGCTCCTCTGGGGCTTGTTGTTATTTGCGTTTTCACTCATTTATTTGTTTAGGGCTTGTCTTGACTCGTTCAGTGAAGTCTGTGACCTCTCAGTGTGCAGTCTCTGATGTCACTCTTCACAGGGTGCTGCCTTGAGTATGCACACAGTTTCCCTGACTACTGGGGGTCATTGTAGTTTTAGGTAGGCTCTCTCTGACTGTCTCTTTCCCTGACTTCCCCTTTAAGCTTTGGCCCATCTGCCTCTATTTGTATCATACCCAGCTGTTAGCCTTCACTAATTGCTCGCTGATTGGGCTATTGTTCTTAACAATGCTCTGGGGCTCACAAATAGCTCCACAATCTGATCCCATTAAAGTCAGTCTCCTTTGCAGGGGCAGGGTATGACAATCCTTGAGGCTTCTTCTGGCCCTAGGAGGGCTCTTCTCATCTGCCCCTTTCCCTGATCTGTCTGTGAAACTTCTGTCTGGTCTGCTCTTGGTACTAGTATCATGGAACCATCAGCCTTCTTCTAATTGCTTAGCTCTAAGAAGCCTCTATTTCTTGACTCTGTACTCTTATACCTTGACTGCTGAAAATATTGACTAAAATGTGATTTCTCTTGTCAAAATATCCTCTTATCAATGAGGAGAAAGAGCTGAGGGGATAGAGAGGGACGGAGAAGGGGTAGTGAGAGAGAAATAGAATTCATCAATGGCTTGTGCGTCCAAAGTATTTAAAAATCAAGTAAATACAAGAGACAACCTATAGCAAGTTGGAAAGGATGCTTCCTTAAATTCTGACATCCAAATTCCAAAGACCAGAGGTTAGAACAAGCACTTCTAGGATGGTGAATAAAAAGGATGATGCCAAAGAGACTGGAGTTGCACAAAAAGAAAATTCTCGCCTCTGGAAGCCTAGATAAGTTTAGAATTCTAGAGAGATGGAGCCTTAAGAAGTGGGAGGGAGGAGACTGGGGGTCATTATTCTGTAATAAAACTTCCCACCACCCCAACAATTAGATGAGGCATCTTGCAGTCTCCATGTACATGACTAGAGCTGAGACAGGGTAAAATGGACCAGAATCTCATTCCCAATATTTTTTTTTAAAGATTTTATTTATTTATTTATTTATTTGACACAGAGAGAGAGAGAGAGAGAGAGAGACACAGCATGAGAGGGAACCCAAGCAGGGGGAGTGGGAGAGGGAGAAGCAGGCTTCCCGCAGAGCAGGGAGCCCGATGTGGGGCTCAATCCCAGGACCCCGGGATCACGACCTGAGCTGAAGGCAGACGCTTAATGACTGAGCCACCCAGGCGCCCCTCATTCCCAATATTTTAATAATTTCAGTTGTACCCTTAGTTTTCTTCTCTCAGTTGCTGGTACAAAGTGGGTATGCATACTTTAGTTAGCTAGAGTTGAAATTTCCAGATAAAACCAGATTTCATACTTTATTTCTCAATAGCTATGAGCTATGTTATAATAAAGGTCATAGGCTCTTTATTTGTCCCCTACTCACAGAAGTGCAAAATTCTTGTCAGAGTGCTATAATTTAAGTTTTATCTTATGTTCACAGAGATGTGGGGGATATATGTACTCATAGCTATGTCACCGTAGAGAGACAAGCGTAATACCCTTCCTTTAGGACAGACTTGCAACAAGATCAGAGAGGTTTAAACAATAATTTTAATTATTTATTTCCTGAGTGACTCCCTTCTCTTAATTCGTTCATTTAATAAGTATTTATTGAACATCAGCTATGTGTCAGTCACCGTTCTAGGCTTTTGAGAATGTCAGTGACCAAAGATCTATTACCTCATGAAGCTTACATTCTAGGGGGAGGAGTTAAATAATAATATAACAAAAAGCAAGTAAATTACATAATATGCTAAGTGAGAGGTTCTATGGGAAAAAAAATTAAAACTAGAACAAGATTAGGAGTATCAGGAGAACTGGAGGTAGAGGACAGAGTTGTAATTTTAAATAGGGTAGTGGGCCTCATTGTGCAGGCTCCCAAGAGTGAAACAGCTTGGTCGTGGTCACTTGGCTAGTCACTGCGCGACAGAGCAGGATGTGATTCCAGGTCTGCCTTTAATGCCCATGCTCCTTTTCCGAAGGGAAAGATGACTTCAAAGTGATAGGAGGTCTCAAGAAGGAAATGATTTGCTCTAGTGTCTCCTCATCCAGTGAGACAATGGGTAAACAAGGAGTAGGCATCTAAAGCAGTTTAGGTATTGCTGGAAGGTTTGGGTTGAGCACAGCTTTTTAAACGACATGTTCAAAAGCTGGAAGGAGGACACATCACCAAGGGAAAATACAAAAGAATAGTGAATCTATAGTATTAGTGTCTTAGAAGAGAAGCATTTAGATACACCTTTCAGAGCTATTAACTCTCCCCCAAAGCATACTTTTGGGAACTGGATTATTTAGAGCTGCAGACAAGCACAGGGCACTTCTTGCTGGATTTATTCTGGATTTAGGAAGTTTAAAGGCTGAGACACAAATAGATTTTTGTTGACCAGGTCCTATAAAAACTGTCATTCAGTAAAACTTTTCCAATTTTTGGTATGAAAATTTCCAGGAAGGAATGTTGTAAATAACTATTCTTTCATGCACTTACCACTCACAAGGCCCTTGCATTTCAGAGGAGAGGATGTTGGAAGGAAAGAGACTGTCTCTGCTGAGGAATTTGTTTCACCAACAAAGGGCCTCAGGATCAAATCTGTATTATAGCCACAGTCTGGGTAAACCAAGTCAAGTGAATGAGTTCTAGACAGAAAAAAGAAATGCAAACTCATGGAATGGATAATTCTGAAGACATTCATTTCTATTAAACTAATACCCCTTTGACTTTGAGTCAAAGAAAAATGAATGTTAGATTTATCTTTCTCATTTCATTGATGAGCCAACTAAAGCTCAAACAGGTTAAATGATTTGCCCAAGGTGACACAGGTGACGCCTGAGGAAATAACTCCTTGGTCAGTGCTTTTTCTAGTTCAACAGAGTCCATTGTATACATTGAATTTGTGTAAATTTCAACTACATGTATGCGACAAAAAGGAGAAAAGTATGTAAAATTTTATTTTCACGAAGGTTATTTATCCCATGATACATTATCACATATATAAAATATTCACACATCCATATTAATGTATAGGAATGTATATACAAATCACGTATAGTGTGCATTGAGGGTAATTTAAGAGGTGTTCCGGGGGTAATTTTGGCTATAAATGACTTGCATTTCATGTGAGAATTTAAAACTTAATCCCCTCCTTATAAAACACAATTCCTTGTGTTCTGTGTTTCTGCCTTCATTACACTACAGGTCAAATCAGGACCCCCAAACATGAATTCATGGTGTAAGAGCCAGATATGACAAGGCAAGTGTTTGTTTTGTCATAAACACCAGCAAGGCAAATGGGCTGCATTGTATTTATTTGTAGGGTAGGATTGTGCCAACGTGGGAGTGAAGTAGGGGAAAAAGGAGAATCCTGGTCTGACTCTTCTTTGGGTGGTTTTAACTCTCACTGCAGTCAATCATCGAAAATTCCCTAAGTGTCTGGTTCGTGCCTGATGGAGGGTTGCTACAGGCTCTGACCAAGTGCTTAGCATTCCAGAGTTCTCCTACCAGTTCTCTTCTTCTCTTCACCCCACTCTCTTCTTCCTCACTTATTTCTAGCTCCCCTTCAAAACCAAACCTATAAATCGGTGTACAGTCCAGTTTACTGGGACAACCATTTCTGGTTCTCTTGTTAAGACCTGACTTGGACTCGCTTGAGTAACTGCAGAACTTAAAATGTGTGCTCCTTCAAGCCTGCAGAACAGAAAGGTGGAAAAGACAGACTCTTAGAATCATAGTCTGTGAGAACTTTGAGATACTTTACAAGTAACCCAGCCCAAACCCCTGATTTTAAAGATCTGGAAACAGAGACCAGAGTGTTTTCTCGAGGCTGTACAGCTTTAGTGACAAAGCTAGTTTTTCTCACTACTGCTTAAACTCCTATAGGAGCTTAGATAAAGAAACCTTATATGTAGATCAGAACAATGAAAAATATTCTTAGAAACTTGGATCTTCAGTCTTGGACATCATGTAGGCTGCATTTTCCTCTTTCAGCCCCAAAAGGAAATGTTATGCTAATAAAATACTTGTGGATTTAGGAGGACACATTGTGGGAACCAGTCATTGGAACTGAGAATGTTCTTATCAATGGGACAAAAAGGGGAGGAGATGACTTAGGAAGTATTCTTGGATGAACACTTGTCTATATTTGTGGTGGGAAAAAGTCTTTCTCATGCTATCTGCTCTACAGGAGAAAAACTAGGGCCAAAGCCACAGCTGGGAGACCTACCTTATCTCTTTGAACATATTAAGAACCTCTAATATGCGTTCATTGTAGGGAGCTGCTTTCTTCTTGGAACATGACGATGAAGTTCTTTTAAGAGAAAAGACCTTGAGGGGCACCTGGGTGGCTCAGATGGTTAAGCGTCTGCCGTCGGCTCGGGTCATGATCCCAGGGTCCTGGGCTTGAGCCCCACATCAGGCTCCCTGCTCAGCGGGGAGCCTCCTTCTCCCTCTCCCTCTGCTGCTCCCTCCCTGCCTCCTTGTGCTTGTGCTCTCTCCCTCTCACTCAAAGAAATAAATAAAAATTTTTAAAAAGAGAGAGAGAAAAGACCTTGGTAGATTCAGCAATTGTGAAACAATCATGATGAGATTTTTAAAGACAGACAAACAAAAGCAAGGGCTGATTCTTCGTGATTATGAAGTATGGCTGCACTGGTTATTGGGGATGAGCAGAAAGGGACCACAGTGGCTACGGGCATTACAATTAGTGTGGAAAAGATTCATGGAGGAGATGAGTCTGAAACAAATTTGAAGGAGGAATGAGAAACAGACTCTGGGATAACTTGGGTTGATATTTCTGGCAAATAAGTTGGAATCTAGAAAGATAGACTCTCGCTTATAACTAGTGGCCTAATCTGGTTTGTTGTTTAAAGGTTATCGATATTCTGTGGAGTGATCCCAGAGGCAAAAGAGGCTGTTACCCAAACACAAGTCGAGGAGGGGGCTGCTATTTTGGACCAGATATTACCTCCAAGGTTCTTAATAAATACCAGTTGAAGATGCTCATTAGGTCTCATGAATGTAAGCCCGAAGGGTATGAAATCTGCCACGATGGGAAGGTAAGCTAACATTGTTGGTGACATCATGACACGCATCCTTGCCCTAAACAGTCTTTCTTCACAGGATGCATCTTACCTAGAGGCCCATGGGAAGGTGTCTTCCCCAGGACCAAAACAGGAGGCCATGCTTTGGTAGGCAGAAACAGGAGACTACAGGGTTCACACAGGTTGTTTGAAGGGGCCCCACTGTGCCTCACCCTAAGAGATATTTGGCTTATTTCCCTGATCTTCCTGAATCCCAGGGATAGAAATTCTGACATGTAGCTCTAAGTACACCCACAGACAGGCTTCCCTCTTTACTAATCGAGATGCAACTCTCCGGTACAGCACGGTTAAGAATGTACTTACCCTCACAAAGCACATCAAAGGCAGCAACGGATCCAGGTCACTCTCCTTCACCTTTTGCACTTGCCCTGTGCAGGACAGAGCCACAGAACCCACCTCCCTTCTACTCACTGAGTAGGTGAGCTCTAGCAAGTCACCTGCTGTAGTCAGTTTAGCTGCAGCCACTAGAATGGAGTGTGTTGTGTTCCTTCATGGGTGTCTGGTAAGGCCGGAAGAGGGCTGAGGAACGGGTTTCTTGTTCCAAGCTGTCTTGGGTTGTCCCTTTTCTACCAGAGAATAACAGTAAATAAAACAGAATACCAAATCGTGTGGCATCTCTTTCTATTTCAAGACCTTCGCTTTTCTTAACTCCATTAGTTCACTTTTGGCTCCTGCTAACGTTGTGAGATAGTGAAGGCAAGGATTATTTAAGGTTTCTTTGTACTGAGAAAACAGAAAATAGCTTGTCTGAAGTAGCAGGCTGATGAGGGCAGAACTGGGCCTGAGCCAGGTTGCCTGTCAAGGACAAGGGTTACCCTGCCATCCCCCACCATGGCCCCAAGGCTGGTTCCTTCCCAGCAGAGTGGTCCTGGCCACTCTGTATTCTGGCCACTATTTTCTCTGCCCTTAAAGGACTGGTTTTGTAGAGGGCCCCAAGCCCTCTACATCAGTCAGCTTTAAGCAAAAGAAAAAGACAGAGAGTAGAGGAGTTTTATTTTGAACGCTCAAATATCACAAGGAAAAAAAACAAAGGCTTTACCCACTTGGAAAATTAGAATTTGCAAAACCAAGCATTAAGTAGAATTCTAAGACACGGAACTGAAATTGCACACGGGATTACAAGGCCATGCACTATGGGGATGAGTGGCTGGAAGTTAGTAGTCCCAGGGACACTGATTTCAAAGCCTTGTTGCTCTCCAGTGGAATCACAGAAAATCCTGTCAGACTTGGATAATTTGGATGGATTTGGAACTTTGTTTGATTTTTGCTTTTTTAGGAATTGAGCTATTTCTGCTTTTATTGAAGGACCTTTTGAGAACTAACTCTACGTGAACCTGGCCTTCTTTTTCTTTAATCAGGTTGTTACTGTATTTTCTGCTTCTAATTATTATGAAGAAGGCAGCAATCGAGGAGCTTACATCAAACTGTGTTGTGATATGACCCCTCGATTTTTCCAGTACCAAGTAACTAGGACAACGTGCTCGAGGCCTCTTTACCAAAGGTGTGTATGCTCTAAGGAGAATTCTGAACGCTGGTACTGGTGACCAAGTAGAAACAGTCCAGAGTGACTAAGAGCGGCCACGAGAGTGAAGACAACTACTTACTGGTTACTCATTGGTATAAACACAATAGAATTAGTTCCAGACACCAAGTGGTGAATGCATTCATATTTGAAACCAAGAGGAGCAATTTTCAATTCATATGTCTCTTTAAATGGGTAAAGCTATCAGTGTCCACGAGCAGCCTCTAATTGAATGTAAAGAAAAGATGGTCCACACATCCACCCGGTTCCACATCCGACAGCCCTCCCTGTCCCCCAAACAGCCCTGTGTGCTCTTGCCTCTTGGTCTCTTCTCTACCCAGAAGTGTATAATGGCAAGAGTTGAGTGTCTCTCCATGTGATGGCATCCATAGTTTATCTTCCTTTTCTCCATTCAATGTGATCTTTTTAAGAAGTTTTCATTATAAAATGAGTATGTTTGTTGTTAACAAGTGAGACCAAACAGAGATGTATACAGAAAATGCTAATGATCTTCTCTCCCTCTCCTTCTTTTATTTATTTATTTATTTATTATTTATTTATTTAATTGACAGAGAGAGAGAGAGACAGTGAGAGAGGGAACACAAGCAGGGGGAGTGGGAGAGGGAGAAGCAGGCCTCCTGCAGAACAAGGAGCCCGATGCGGGGCTCAATCCCAGGACTCTGGGACCATGACCTGAGCTGAAGGCAGTCGCTTAACCGACTGAGCCACCCAGGCGCCCCTCCCTCTCCTTCTTAATAATCCTTTTCCCCAGAGGCAACTGAAATTGATAGCCTAGAGTGCACATTTCTTCCCTTTTCTTGCTCCTACAAAAACAAACCATTATATTCGTCGAATTTAAAAATTTTTGAGCACCTACTATGTATCACACACTGTTCTAGGCCCAGGCGGTATGGCAATGAACAAAACAGACAAAAGTCCTTTCCCTCATCAAATGCAGATCCCGGGGGAGGAGAAAGGCAGTCAGCAACATACACAGCACACTCTATGCTACAACTGACCTTTTCTCTAAAGATGATATCATGAACATTACTCCAAGTTAATACACATAGACCTAACTCAATCTTTCTAGTAGATGTGCCATAACAATTATGGAGTGACTAAATCTTATTCAACTGATGGCCATCCAGATTGGTTCCAGGGTTTTGCACTTAAAAGCAAAGCTATATATGACAAACACTTCTGTGTATGTGTGTATACACACATGCACGCATGCATGCACGCATGCATACATACACACGCATGCATACATACACACGTACATACACATGGACGCACACACATACATACATACACACGCACACATACATATGTACATACACATGCATGCGTGCATGCATACACCCGCATGCATGCATACATACGTGTACACACATGCATACATGCACACACATACATGCGCGCACGCATACATGCGCGCACGCATACATGCACACGCATGCACACATACATGCATACACACACGTACATACGCACATGCACGCATGCATAGACACACATGCATACATACATAAATGCACACATGCATACATACGCATGCATGCATACACACGCATGCACACACATACGTACATACACACATGCGTGCATACGCACATGCACACATGCATACATACACACATGCATGCATACATACACACATGTACGCACGCATACGTACACATGCGTGCATACATACGCATGCATACACATGCACACATGCATACATACATGTGCATGCATACACAATACGTACATACACACATGCATACACATGCATGCACACATACATACATACAGCCATAAGATTTAGTGCTTTTTTTTACATAAAATTTCAAAATGTGGAATTTATGGGTTTATGGTTTAAAGTTTTGCTAGATACTCCAAAAGAGTTTTAACAATTAACAATTTGAAAAACAACATACCAATTTTTCCACATCCTCATTAGTCTTAGATATTATCACACTTCTTAATTTTTGCCAAGCTGATGGATCAAAACAGTAAATCTCATTGTTTTAATTAGCACTTTTTAGATAGCTGAGTTTGCCCATCTTATGTTTTTGGACATTGCATTTTTCTCTTCTTGGAATTTCCTATTTATATTATTCCCCCATTTTATATTGGGTTGTTTGTAATTTTCTGATCAATCTTTAGGAGTTCTTTGCAGATGAGGGACAGAGGATTTTTACAGTTACATTGCATATGTTTTGTGGGTGTCTTCATTTTGCTTTAGTTCTATGAAATCACATTTATATATATAATTTCATTATATCTTTTGGATTTTCATCTTTGTTAGAAAAATGTCTCCACAGCAAGTTTATATTATATTGTATTATATTAGTAAGTTAATCTAAAATTAATTTATTTTAAGAGTTTTGTTGAGACATAATTCACATACCATAAAGTTGACCAATTTAAAATATACAATTCACCGATAGTATATTTACAGAGTTGTGCAACCATTGCCATAACCAGCTTGAAAACATTTTTGCCATCCTAAAAAGACAACTTGAACCCATTAGCAGTCACCAGTCACTTCCCCCTATCACAACTCCAGGCAACCAGTAATCTGCTTTCTGTTTCTATAAATGTACCTATTCTGGACATTTCATGTGAATGGGATTACACAATATGTGGTCTTCTGTGACTGGCTTCTTTCACTTAGCACAATGTTTTTGAGGTTCATTCTCGTTGTAACATGTATGAATGCGTCATTCCTTTTTATGGCTGAATAATATTCCATTATATGAATAGACCACATTTTTCTTTTTTTTTAATTAAAAAAATTTTTTTAAGTTTTTAACTCCAGTACGGTGAACACATAGTATTACATTAGCTTCAGGTATACAATATAGTGATTTAACAATTCCATACATCATCCTGTGCTCATCACAAGTGCACACCTTAATCCCCATCACCTATTTCATCCATCCCCCCACCTACCATCCCTCTGGTAACCATCACTTTGTTCTCTATAGTTAAGGGTCTCTTTCTTGGTTTGCCTCTCTCTCTCTCTCTCTTCCTTTGCTCATTTGTTTTGTTCCTTAAATTTCACATATGAGTGAAATCATATGGTATTTGTCTTTCTCTGACTTATTTCACTTAGCATAGTATCTCTAGCTCCATCCATGCTGTTGCAAATGGCAAGATTTCATTATTTTTTATGGCTGAGTAATATTCCATTGTGTAGATATACCACTATTCTTTATCCATTCATCGTCTGATGGACACCTGTGTTGCTTCCGTCATCTTGGCTATTGTAAATAATGCTGCTATAAACGTAGGGGTGCATGTATCCCTTTGATTCTTGTATTCTTTGGGTAAATACCTGGTAGTGTGATTGCTGGATTAAAGGTATTTCTATTTTTAACTTTTTGAAGACCCTCCATACTGTTTTCCACAGTGGCTGCACCAGTTTGCATTCCCACCAACAGTGCAAGAGGGTTCCCGTTTCTCCACATCCTCGCCAACACCTGTTGCTTCCTGTGTTGTTAATTTTAGCCATTCTGACAGGTGTGAGGTGATATCTCATTGTGGTTTTGATTTGCATTTCCCTGATGGTAAGTGATGATGAGCATCCTTTCATGTGTCTGTTGGCCATCTGTATGTCTTCTTTGGAGAAATGTCTGTTCTTGTCTTCTGCCCATTTTTAAATTGGATTATTTGTTTTTTGGATGTTGAGTTTGATACGTTCTTTATATATTTTGGATACTAACCCTTTGTCAGATATGTCATTTGCAAATATCTTCTCCCATTCCGCAGGTTGCCTTTTAGTTTTGTTGATTGTTCCCTTTGCTGTGCAGAAGCTTTTTATTTTGATGTAGTCCCAATTGTTTATTTTTGCTTTTGTGCCCCTTGCCTCAGAGGACCTATCTAGAAAAAGTTGCTATGGCCAGTGCCAGAGAGGTTACTGCCTGTGCTCTCTTCTAGGATGTTTATGGTTTCAAGTCTCACATTTAGGTCTTTATCCCATTTTGAGTTTATTTTTGTGTATGGTATAAGAAAGTGGTTTCATTCCTTGCATGTAGCTGTCCAGTTTTCCCAACAACATTTGTTGAAGAGCCTGTCTTTTCCTCATTGCATATTATTTCCTGCTTTGTTGAAGATTAATTGACCATATAATTGTGAGTTTATTTCTGGGTTTTCTATTCTGTTCTATTGATCTATGTGTCTTATTTTTGTGCCAGTAACATATTGTTTTGATTACTACAGCTTTGTAATATAACAAGTCTGGAATTGTTGATAACTCCAGTTTTATTTTTATTTTTCAAGATTGCTTTGGCTTGAATAGTTCACATTTTCTTTGACCATTCATCAGACCATCGATGGAAATTCAGGTTTTTTCCACTTTTTGGCTATTATGAATGATAATGTTTTGAACATTGGTGGACAGATTTTCTACATACATATGTTTTCATTTCTCTTGGGTATATACCTGAAAGTGGAATTGTTGAATTATATGGTAACTCTATTTTTAACATTTTGAATAACTTGGTAGCTTTTTTTCCCAAGGGTCTGCATGATTTTACATTCCCACCAGCAGTGTATGAGGATTCCAGTTTTCCCACATCCTTGCCAACCCTTATTATGATCTTTTTTTTTTTAAAGATTTTATTTATTTATTTGAGAGAGAGAGAATGAGAGACAGAGAGCACGAGAGGGAAGAGGGTCAGAGGGAGAAGCAGACTCCCTGCTGAGCAGGGAGCCCGATGTGGGACTCGATCCAGGGACTCCAGGATCATGACCTGAGCCGAAGGCAGTTGCTTAACCAACTGAGTCACCCAGGCGCCCCTATGATCTTTTTTATTGTAGCCATCTTAGTGAATGTGAGATAGAATCTCACTGTGGTGGTTTTGATTTGCATTTTTCTAATGACCAGTGATATTGAGGACCTTTGTATGTGCTTATTGAACATTTGCTTATCTTCTTTGGAGAAATGTCTATATCAGATCATTTTTCAATTTTTTTAAAAAGATTTTATT